CCTGTTAAATAAGTGATCGGTTAAAATTTAGACCGATTATGTTATATCTAGGCCTGTAAATGAACTGAACGTTCAGCGAACCGTTCATGAACTGTGCGGTGAGAAATTCGTTTATGTGCGTTTATTTATTAAATGAACGAACATGAACAAGATTTTGTGTTCGTTTAATTAAATGAACGAACATGAACATAGGTCTCGTTCGTTCATTTACGTTCGTGAACGTTCTTTTATGTTCGTTCGATTATGTTCGTTTATGTTCATTCATTTATGTTTAACCCAATCTTCTTAAATCAATTTTGGTGACCAATTTGTAAGTATCTTAAAAATATTAATTAATCTGATATTCTGATGACCAACTCCATAATTAACCCAATTTTATTTGGAAAACCCAACAATATTAACATGGTTTAGTTCTTTTTGAACGATCCATAAGCTGCATACCCAGCACCGTTAACATCCACAGCGCCGGAACCCTATGTGACTGCACCACCAGCTGGTTATCCAATGAGCAAAGAGAAGTCCCAGAAACCGGTTGCTTTCGAAACCAAGTCCAAAGGTGATGGATTCCGGAAGAGATGTAAAGTATTAAGCACCGTTTCTTCTACTCAAATAATCTTCTTTTCTTTCATATATAATGGAGTACTCGAATTTACAAATAAATAGTGATCAACCAGCAACTCAAGTCAACTTACTTTGAACTCAAGAACCCAATAATGGTGAGGCCCTATTCCATAGGTTGAGAAGTTATTTAACGCGTTTCATCAAACAAATTTTGTGCGCCATCTGGATATGGAAGTTTAGCCAGCCAAGAAAGAATGGTTTTTGATGTATGAGTTGGTGTGAACAATAAACCAACATACTTCTCTCATCTCCCAATTTTCAACTTCTACATAGCATAAAGCTAAGGACATGTTTGTTTGATCCCCAAGGATTAAGGTCGGCAATCACATGAAACACAATCTGTGTTCAACTCGACTGTTGTTGAAGGAGAGAGAAAGAAATAAAGTGGAGGAATGTTATGCAATCCCACATCAGTAGCAAACAAGCAGCTCGAGGTTGGTAACTTATATAAAAGAAGATGAGGGAGAATAGGTTTAAGCATTTTGCGCTTGGGGCAATGTCGAGCTCAGAATCGAGCTTTGAATCGAGTTTTAATCGAGCTCTTAATTTTTTTTTGAGTTCGAGTCGAGTTTCAATATTATATTTCGAGTTCGAGTCGAGCTTGATAATTTTAAACTCGCGAGTTTTCGAGTCGAGTCGAGCTAACTTTGAAAGTTTTCGAGTTCGAGTCAAGCTCAGCAATACTCGAGCTCGACTCGGCTCGTTTACACCCCTAGGTAGGGTCTCCAACGTTTATGTTCGTTTATGTTTGTGTTAATTTATGTTCATGTTCGTGTTCGTTTATGTTCGTTTATTTATTAAATGAACGAACATGAACAAGTTATATTCCTTAATAAATGAACATGAACAAAAAAAAATTTGTTTGTTTATGTTCGTGTTCGTTTATGTTCGTTTATTTATTAAATGAACGAACATGAACATACCTCCGTTCGTGTGCGTTCGGTTCGTTTACAGACCAAGTTATATCATTTAACCGAAAATATTATCAAGTACAATAATATATTAAGTAGCGCTTATATAATGTAATAGGTAGCGCTTATATTGACATATTTTCCAACTAAACAGGTATATTTAAATCGGTAATATTGCAAATTTACCTATTACATTATAATTATCGGTTTTGATGTTTTTGTGATTAATACAATTTTAAATGTATCGACATTTTATACGTGCACCTCGTTGTGCTTTCATTTTGGGAAAAAAATATCGACACATATTTAAAGAGTGTCGATACATAATGTAAATCTATTTGCTAATTAACCAGTATATTTTTACCGGTTACATTGTAAATTTACCTGTTACATAATAATTATCGATTTCGATGTTTTTTGGATCGATACTTTTCATAAATGCATCGACACTTATGCGCGCACCAGTTTGAGTTCTTCAATCAACAGTTTCAATGACACAAAATCCTAACTAAAAAATAAAACTAAAACTGACCTAACTTTACCTTATGGAGATAATAAAAGTATATCATAAGTTTGCGTTGAGAGATGTCTGTTTCTGGGTTTTTGTCCTTTGAGAAACGTATAACATGGTGGATTTCTTACTGGGTTTTGCTTAAAATATCCAACTTTTTGTATTAAAAAATAAAAATTCTGAAATAAAAATGACCACACAAGCATACTTTTTTACTACCGGTTTTGTCATTTCGAGACCGATTTTGTCATATTTTTACATGTTATATTGTTATGGATCGATACATTTTTATAAAGTATCGACACTTTATTGGCGCTATAACTTCTCTTTTAAATTTCAAAAGTGTCGATACTTATAATAAAGTATCGACACTTTCAACATATCCGACAGCTCTTTACCGGTTTTGTCATTTCGAGACCGGTTTTGTCATATTTTTACCTGTTATATTGTTATGGATCGATACATTTTTATAAAGTATCGACACTTTATTAGCGCTATAACTTCTTCTCTTTTAAATTTTAAAAGTGTCGATACTTATAATAAAGTATCGACACTATCAACATATCTGGTAGCGCTTTACCTGTTTTGTCATTTATAGACCGGTTTTGTCATTTGTTTACCTGTTATATTGTTATGGATCGATACATTTTTATAAAGTATCAACACTTTCAATATAACTAGTAGCGCTTTACCTGTTTTGTCATTTATAGACCTGTTTTGTCATTTTTTACCTGTTATATTGTTATGGATCGATACATTTTTATAAAGTATCGACACTTTCAATATATCCGGTAGCACTTAACTTGTTTTGTCATTTATAGACCGGTTTTGTCATTTTTTTTACCTGTTATATTGTTATGGATCAATATATTTTTATAAAGTATCGACACTTTCAATATATACGGTAGCGCTCTACCTGTTTTGTTATTTATAAACCGATTTTGTCATTTTTTTATCTATTATATTACCGGTTGTCAAATTTTTTAATATTTCTTCATGATTTCCACCTATTACATTATTATTACTCGATATTTCTAATAGCGCTAAATCAAATTTATCAAATATATTTTAATGTATCTGGTAACGCTGTATATTAACCGTATATTAATATGCCTTTCCGAAACAACCCTTTTTTCATGCTCTATGCATTTAATTTAAAGCTTCTCTCTTTGGATCTCACTATGTCAGTTTTTCCCCCTTTGCGTGCCATTTAAAAAGATTTTTTTTCTTCGTTTTGTACTTCTCACGTCTTTTGCATGTTCCCTCGCTTGATTCTCTCCTCCATTTCCTACGCCTTTGATTGGCTTCTCATCATCTCAAATTTTCTCTTTCTTTTCTATAATTCTCAGGGGTTTGCTCTATAATTTGTTGCTAACTGGGAGTATACTGAATTCAAGCTTGAAGACAACCAATCAAACTGGTAACTTCTGATTCTTGGGTTTATGTTTCAATTTTTCATTTTGTTTTTTTGCTGGCCAAATGTTCGATAAAATCTTGACATTGCCCCAAGGGTTAAATGGAAACGTTTATCCTATTGGTGAGAGGGATTGTTAGTTGAATTGACCATATTGGCTTAAGCTTCCCATAGTGGCATTGTTTTTCTTCTTCTTTTTTTCCCCTATTTGAACTTTGGGAAGGTCAAAAATAGAGTGGCAAAAGCAGGGGAACTTCTTGATTCTCAATTATGTACCTCAATACTGACACAGACAGTTTGCTACAATTGCTTCATACAAATTTTAGGGGCCATTAGCTTACTTTTCTACTAGCTTCTTTTCATGCTTCATAAATAAGAATTTTTTCACTTCATTGGCAGTTTGGAGCTGATCATTCCAAATCACATGTGTTTTTCAACTTTTTTCTCTTCTCACGTGCAGGTTAGTGATATGTCGAATATCAAGTTAGATGAGGTTGTCTGCCGTGATTATGAGGAATCAGAATTAAGCTTTTGGAAGGGGAACGTAACAGCAGATGAAAAAGTTAATCTAGTATACGAGATCCTAAATACTATCAATAAGGAAGGGCAGAGATCACTTAGAGATATCACTGCGAATGTAGCGAATGGAACTCGGACTGATAGGTATCACCAAAATGTTTCACCTTGTAATGGTTTATTATTCAGTCATCTCTAAACTGATATCTAGTTGGAGTTCTCTCTATCTAAGTGTGCTTCATCGTAATGCAAGTTTATTTTGTTAACTGGGGATTTATAAGAATCTGATTTATATAATCTACATGTCCAAGTTTGAAAGACAAGAAATTGGCTTGATTCAGATGAGTTGATGACCACAGTTGATACACTCCTTGTTTTATTGTTTTTGAATTCTTTTAAAAACCAAATAAACTCTGCTTGACAAAAAGTTCTGATCTGGATATTGATTTGTTGCTTTTTATTTTAAAATTTGAGTTTCTGGATGCCTCCTAGTGTATGTGCAGTACCAAACTACTAATGATTTTTTTTTTTACCTTCATGGTGTATGAAGTAATATGATCATTTCACCACTTTAAAAGTGACTTTTTCCTGGTCAAATTGACGCATATCACTCTTTCATCAGGTTATTTAAGGAGAACGAAAAACATGCACACGTAGTTGGAAGAAGATCTGGACCTCTCATATCCGGAACAGCCTACTGCATTTCCTCGTGCAGCATGATATTGCTGAATAAAGTTGTTCTATCAAGTTATAACTTCAATGGAGGAATATCATTGATGTTTTTTCAAGTATGTAACTGCATCTCAATAGTTTTATAGCATTTTAAGTATGCAAAAATGTCATGAGAACCTTAAAATTTTGTCGGAGTGGAAGTTCATTCTTTTTACTGTATTGCACCGCAGAATCTGATAGCATGTCTAATTGTTGCCATACTGGGTCTATGTCGAGCATTTTCGATCGTAAAACTCAACTGGAAGTTGATCAGGGTTTGGATCCCTGTAAATATAATCTTCGTCAGCATGCTTGTATTGGGAATGTATAGGTATGTTGAGGCTGCCTCTAGCATATTCCTCTTATATTATTTACACAAAAAAAAAGTTAAGAGAAGTGGAGTCCTAACTATACAATTTATGTTTTTCATTACAGTTTGAAATACATAAATATAGCAATGGTGACCATTCTGAAGAACGTGACAAATATTTTAACAGCAATCGGAGAATATTATGTTTTTCGAAAACGTCAAAATGTGAAAGTCTGGACAGCCATGTATATGATGGTAAAGTTACTAGTGCAAATCAAAACTCTTCCATAAATATAAACTCTCTTACAATGATGAATATAAATTTTCCCTATAGTCTGAGATTTTACAGAGATTTATGTGTCACTGTGCTGCAGATTATCTCTGCTGTCAATGGTGGTATTACAGATCTCTCATTCGATGCCACAGGGAATACTTGGCAGATTTTAAATTGCATCTTAACCGCTGGCTACTTGGTATGCGTTGAATATATTCGTTATTTAGTCAACTCATGATTTCAAGATCTTTAATTTCTAGCTTAGACTATGGAAACCATTGTTTTGTGAAGATCTATCCGCACTTGTATGATTATCTAATGAGCCACATTTGCAAATTGTGACAGCTTACTCTGCGGCTGGTCATGGATAAAGCTAAGCAGGCAGCCAAATCAGAATCACTTAATAAAGTGTCCATGGTTTTGCTGAACAATTTGTTGTCTCTACCCTTTGCCATCTTCTTGATTTTCGTTTTGAACGAATGGGAATATGTAATAAACACGTGCGTAAACACCTTAACTTACTCTTTGTCACGGTTGCATAAGTTTTCCGTGATGCAAGTATCATCATCCACATCCTGACGATTGCAGTTTTGGTTTTCAGCGATGTGATTAGGTTGCCGATGTTTTGGGTTGTCGCAACGGCTAGTGGGTTGCTTGGTCTTGCCATTATCTTCACGTCCATGTGGTTTTTACATCAAACCGGACCAACCACTTACAGGTATTCGGTTGTGTTACTTTACAAGTAATGCTTGATACAAAGTACATTATGTCTTCCAAATTACTTCGGTATCGTAATATATGTTAGTCCAGTAACTGTCCGGTGTATCCTTCGTCTACGCACGAATGTGACGATCACACTAACGATGACATTGTATCCTTGTTTTACAGCCTTGTAGGTTCCTTGAACAAGGTTCCCATCTCTATAGCCGGACTCGTGTTGTTCAAAGTTCCGCTAAGTGTACCAAACCTGTTCAGCATACTTTTCGTTAATGAAACGAATCATTTAGCATGAACAAAATGCTTACAAAAACTTAGATTCTTATCTTACGTCGATCGATGCCAGGTTTATTTGCCGGAATATTCTTTGCCAGAGCCCAAATGTCATGATCCAAGAACACGCCGGAGTCTGAATGAGATGAAGCAAACATGGCTTCTCTCCTTTTGTAGTGATTCACATACATTAAAAGTTGTAGGAAACAAAATATGATTGCAATCTCAATCGAGTAAACATATATACTTCGTATACACAACTCGGAAAGTTAATTAGTTAACACAATAATTGTCAATTTCATTGTTTAGGGCATGTTTTTCATTTTTTTTTAGGAGATGACCCAGAGAAAAATATTGTCAACTGTCCTTTGCTTATTCATATGTATTATATATGAATTACTAGTATTTTGATATATTGATAGTGTAAACTTTTAATTCCACAAACGGATTAAAACATTGTTGTTTGTCGACTGTGAAATTAAAATCATATGGAATTTCTTGGATCTTTGATTTCAGATTAAATCAGATAGTTCAACTATCTAAGAAATATATAATATTAATTAATAAAGGGCATGGAGCAATAGTCAGAAAGACATGGGTAGGGATGGATACGGGACCTGAATCTAACCGTTCATATCCGACCTGATCTTATTGGGTCGATTTTTTTTAAAACAATCGTGTTCAGGTTGGATTTGGGTTTAGGGTAAAAATACTCGATCTGATCCAAAAAATAATATAATTTTACCTTATATATTTAAAAAATTGCAATAATACTCATTTATAATATATTTTTTCAATTAAATCTATATTTTATTGAATAAAAATAATATTTTTTATAAATATATCTTTCGGGTTGGATCGGGTCAGACTCGAATTTTATCTCAAAAAAAGGATTGGGTTTAGGTTAGGTAAAGTCACCCTAAACTTGAATCGGGACAGATTTCGTGTGAAAAAAAAAATATTTTTCTGTTGAGTCAGGTTGAACGAAAACCCAACCCAAATCAACCCATGCTCATCCTAGACATGGGATTCTATTATTAATTGGTAGGAGAAAAGCAGCATAACTATCACAGTCTCTTCAATCTTCAACTTAAAAAAGATTGTTAGCTTCTGTTTGGCAGAAGGGAAAATTGAAGAAAACAAAAGGAATGGGTTCTCTTCTTCATTGTGTATTAGCATTAATTGATTTTGTGTTTGGCAGAAGAGAAAATTGAAGAAAACAAGAGGAATGGGTTTCCTTCATTGATGTAAATCGGCCAGCATTAATTGATTCGGTGTATGTTGGGGAGTAGAGAATAACGAAGAAACGACAACAACAACACTACAGCCTCGGCCTCCTTAATGTGAAGATTTGCATGTGAGAAGTGCATGTGCATGCATGGTGTCAACACACATTTTTCGTCTTATTAGGATTCAAACTCCTAAAAATAGGATAAAATTTTAGGATTCAAACTCCTAAAGATATGATAGAATTTTGCTAGGATTCAAAAAATAGGATATAATTTTATGATCTAAACTCCTAAAGATAGGATCCACAAGCACTATAAATAGCCATTGTAACTCACCATTGTAAGACACGATTTACACACAAAAACATAGAGGAAAGCACGGAAAGATACAAAGGCAAAACTATTGTAAATGATTCGAAAAGGAAATAAAATGTAGCATTTTCTTTTTTTTTTCTTTTGCATGTGCACGTTATTTTTCTTGAAATTTGGTTCGAATAACCCAAAATGTAGGTTGCGCCGATGACCAAAACGGGTGGGGTTTCGAAGTTTCGAACCTAGATCTACCCCGAGGCTTATTTTTAAAAACTGGTTTGATTTTCGGTTAAAGGAGGGGAAGAGCTTTTTAAAAATCTATATTAGTCCCTTTATTTATTATATGGATATTTTATTTATTTATTTTTATTATTCATGTTATTATTATTATATGTATATATATATATTAAATTATTTTCATTTATTTTTTACTATATTTTACTATTATATATATATATATATATATATATATATATTTTTTCTTTAATATTTTACTTATAAGTCTAATATTACTATCTATATATATTGTAATTATCTTTATCTAGTCATATATTTTTTTATATTTTTAATAGTTTATTTATATACCTATTATTAATATATATATTCTTAATTATTTTTATTTGATTATTTTTTTTATTTACGTAATATATCTTATAACTTTATATATATATTTTTTATTATTTTCGTTTTTTTTATTTATTATTATTATATTATTTTTTAAAAAACCTTGTGTCTTTATCATTATTATTATTAAACATTATATTATATACTACTAACCTAGAGAGTCTATTTTTTGTCTTATTTCTTACTAAAGCCCCCACTTTCGGTAAATTGAGAGGGTAGCTTTTCTATTTTTAAGTATTTGGTGTACATATATAGCTTATTTATTTTATTAATACTTTGATATATATATATATATATATATATATATTTTTCCTTTTTTCAAATATTACTATATACAATTATTACTTTACTATTTTTTTTTCTTATCTTACTTATTTATTTTATTTTTCCATTGTATCTTATTTGTTTTCTTTACCTTGTTTATCTAACACATTTCTCGATTTTTTTTTTCAAATCAATCAAGGGTAAGTAATTAGGATCGAAACTTTACTTTTTAATTTAACTTGTCATTTTTCTTAATTAAGACAACTGGAAATTACGTAGTACCGAAAGGGCGGTTCAAGGGTGCTAATCCTTCCTTGACCGTAACCGACTCCCGAGCCCGACATATTTCTGGTAAGACGCAGATCAGGTAAGAAATAGGGTATCCGATCAACCCATTTATTTTTAAATAAATGATCGATGGCGACTCCAATCCACATTTTTCAAGTCGAAGCCCAATTCTGGGGCCCAACCGAAAAACGGTTGCGACAGCTTGGCGACTCCGCTGGGGACACAGGTAAGTGAGTCAGGCTAAGGTAATTTCCAGTTGTCTTTTTAACGAAAAGGGTAAGTTTAAATTTTAAGGTAACCTTTCGATCCTTATTGCTTACTTTTGATTATATTTTCTTCGAGTAAATAGTTGTACTAACCGTTTTCTCAATGATTTCATCCCTTAAAGTCTTTTTTCATCTAAAGCTCTAAACCCGAGCTCTGAACCCATTTTAAATGGGGGTGAAAGCGACGTATTCGTGTGAATTTATTCACCGCATATGCCTAGCAAGTAGCCTTCGGGATTCATATACCTTATGTCTTCGTGTGAATTTATTCTCCGCATAGACATAAGGGAATGTGTCCTCTCGAGTTTAACTTAGCCCACACAAGCTTGTAATAGGCTTAGGACTAAGGGTCTGACAAGCCCAAGGGGCACCAGCAATGAGAACTCGGGTACCATTTTTTTAGAACCTAAACCGGGAGACGATGGAGAATTAGAGCCCACCCCAAAACCTCATTCCAAACCTTAGGCTGCTTTGATTTTATTTCATGCCTTACTTTCTGTTCAAAGCATGCGAACTAGACAAATATGCGGTTAGGATTTGTTTGAGATTAGCATGCGGGATAGAGATCATGTCCGGGTAGGAATAATAAGCATGTGGGGTAGATATCATGTGGGGTAGGATTTTCATTTTTATGATCTTTTTTTATTATTTTTTTCACCTCACTAACTCTTTTCATCTTTCTTTTATTTTATTTTATTTTATTTTCATCACTTGCATCATAAAAGAGGTCATTGATCCACTAAAACGTGTTTGTTAAAACTCGAATAATCTGAATCCATGGACAAAGGTGTTGTAATACAAGAGATTAAAAACCCCGAGGTACGACTATGGTCCGAGAAGACTCAGAAGGAAAATGGAGATAGTCTTCAAGGAAGCTATGTGTCAGAGCTAGTTAGCTACGCCTCTATCAGTTTAAAACATAATAATGTGCAAGAACTTCGAGACATATGAGATAGTTGGAAGAATGATCGGAAACAGAAGTTCAATCAGCGGTATGGTGACATTGCACTTTTGCTTCATGTTAAGACCAATGAGCCCTTAATCAGAGTCTTGGTTCAATTTTGGAACCTGGGATACAGTTGCTTCACTTTTAACCAGGAGGACATGGTACCTACCATCGAGGAGTATACTACACTATTGCACTGTGAAAGCATTAAACTGGAGTGAGCCTACATCAAACACATCAAGAGTCAGCCTTTCAAGAACGAACTGGCTAAGATTGCAGGAGTTGATGAAAAATGGGTGACTGACCGACTCCAAAACAAAGGTAACGGGCAAGACTATAGACCTTTTTGCACTAGGTCTGTATGGCTTGATCATCTTTCCGAAGGTTTTAGGATGCATTGACGCAGCCGTGGTGGAACTGTTTGAGCAACTTCCGAAACGAGTCAACCCATCACCGACCATCTCAGCCGAGACCTTTTGGTCTCTCAACCATTGCCGAAGAGCTGGCGGAGGTAGATTCATTGGATGTGTTCAGTTCCTTCAAGTCTGGATTCACATCCACTTCTAGAAGACTAATGGGGTTGCCTACTGTAGATTTAACACTACGTATTCACCTTTGAGAGAGTTCATCATCATGACAGGATATGAAGGCGCTTCAAAAGAGAAATGGATGAAAGTCTTCACTCATCTACAGGACCGAGATATTACCTGGAGAGCCCCCTGGTTGTTCCTCAGTGATGTTCTTTTCAAGTGTGGGAATTCTGACACTATGACCCTATTTGGACTTTGAGGTGCAGTTGGGTATGCTCCGTTGTTGGCACTTAGACAGTATAGGGCACATCAGTTTGTCCCAGCAACATATGGATTATCTATATCAGAGTTTATGTATCACGGTGACAGTTATAAGAAGATGATCAAAGAAGCAGTCGAGTCATGGAAGAAAGTATCTTGGATGGATGTCTAGAAGATTTAGTCCGAACATACCTTTTATTGTTTTTATGTCTCTTACAAGATAAAACATTTTTGTCTGAATAAGGATTATTTATGATAATGGACACTTTTCTGGATCAATGCCTCGAACATTTCATGCATTTTTGCATTTTGCATATACATTTCATTTTTTAAGTATTTTCATAAACATGAAATCTCTTCATGGAGAATTCGATGAAGTGGTTTTAACCACATGACACCACATGGAAGCAAGATTGTAACATCATAAAAAAACTATCACAACGAATGAGCCCA